AGGAAGCAGCGATTATACAGCCTTGAAATCTGGCTGAGTAGAAACTAGGGCTAGGCAGCAACATCTAGAGCTGGGCACTTTGATAAAATCTGATAGTTTGTAATCTGCATCCATTTTGCCTTGCCTTACAAACAGATCTCAGAACTACCTGGGCATTCTACTTTATGAGAAGCATATCCAGACACCCAGAGAAAGGGGGATAGTACTCCTTGTTCACACATCTTGGGTCCTTCCTACTGAACTTTGCAAAAGCACCATGTCTTGGTAATGGGGACCCCCAAATTTAAACAAGAAGTCAAATGACCTCAGACTTGCTAGGAACCAAGCCTCCACTCCTGGGCAGAAGTGGCCATTCCAAAGTACTACTCTGGGCACAGAGGCACATGTCTTTAATTCCACTGCTCAGGAGGCAGACAGATCTCTGTGAGACCAAGGCCAGCCTAGTCTCTATAACAAGTTCCAGAACAGCTGGGGCCATAGGGAGACCCTGTCTCAAAAACAAGAAAAAAGGAAAGAAAAAAAAAAAAACAAACCCAAAACCAATGGAACCACCACCCCATCTCTGGTGTCATTGTTTGGTGGTTCTGAAGCTCCCTTATCCAGTTCCATCTACCACAAGCAAGCAAGAGTCTCAAAGATTTAAAATTAAAACGTCAGGTGTGCTGGCACATGCCTTTAATCCCAGTACTTGGGAGGCTGAGGCACGTAGATCTCTGTGAGTTCAAGGCCAGCCTGGTCTATATAGTGAGTTCCAGGCCAGTTGGGGCTACAAGGAGACCCTATCTCAAAAAAGACAAAAATAAATAAATAAAATGTGAAACATTTGTGGGGTTACAAGGAACATGTTGCTAGTCTGGACTATGTCTGTGGCTGCCACAGAAGTTAGGAACTAGTAAAGGAAGGGTCTAAGGAAGTTTCCCTCCCAGGTATTCCACTGTCCCTTTCTCACCAGCCTCCAGACATATGAACAGATGTTCCTCAGCTTACAATGGGGTTATATTGCCCCCAACTCATTCATTGTTAAGTTGAAAATATCAAATAGAGTTGGACGTGGTGGTGCATGCCTTTAGTCCCAGCACCTGGGAGGCAGAGGTAAGCAGATCTCTGTGAGTTCAAGGTCAGCCTGGTCTACATAGTGAGTTCCAGGCCAGCTGGGGCTACAGGGAGACCCTGTCTCAAAAAAGGCCAAAAAAGAAAATATCATAAATTAAAACAATATAAGCCCTAGCACTGGGCCTGGTGGCCCATACCTTTAATCCCAGCGCTCAAGAGGCAGAGGCAGGCAGATGTCTGTGAGTTTGAAGTCAGCCTGGTCTACATAGTAAATCCCAAGCCAGCTGGAGCTTCAGGGAGACCCTGTCTCAAAAAGACCAAAACAAAAACAAACAAACAAACAAACAAAAAAACAAAGAAAAAACCCCAGGGAATGACAAGATCGGGTTAAGGTGCTTTGCCGCCAAACCTGATGGCCTCTGAGTTTGATCCTCAGGACCCAGATGGTGGAAAGAGGATCAACTCCTGAAAACTGTCCCCTCTCCTCCATACACACACAATGGCAAATGCAAAATAGCCTACTGATATGATTTGAATGTATCAGAGACACTATTTATTTATTTATTTAATTTATTTATTATTGGTCTTTTTGAAACTGAGTCTCCCTGTGGCCTGGAAGTTGCTATGTAGACCAGGCTGGCCTATTTGAACTCAAGAGATCTGCCTGCCTCTGCCTCCCAAGTGCTGGGATCAAAGGCGTCAGCCACCACACCTAGACCAGAGACACATCCTGAAATTTAATGGCTATGGTGACAGCATTAACAGATAGGGTTTGATTTTTTTCCTGGGTTTGGGGAGATAGGAGGATGACACAGAATCATGTAGCCAGGCTGGCCTTAAACTAAAGCAAGAAGCCAGTAACCTCACATTTGCTGGGAACCAAACCTCCACTCCTAAGCAAGGGGCCCCCTGATCCTCCTGCTCTACCTCCAAAGGTCTGAGAACACATGTAGCCTGGGGTGGAGTTAAGAGGAAATTAGGCCCTAAGGGTTCTGCTCTCCAGAATGAATTAACAAGGCAGGAGCCATTCTTATAGTAAAAACACTGAGTTCAACCAGGTTTTCTACCTCTCATACATGTCCACTAACCCATCTGACATAGTACAAAGGCCCTCCCCTCACCAGAGGTGACCCTTTGATCTTGGGTTTCCCAGGCTCTAGAACCATGAGCCAAATAAACTATTGTTTATATATGACTTGGTCTATGGTATTCTGTTACAGCAACAGAAAACAGGTTAAGAAAGCATCGAAGTTTGGCCACACAATACACTGTATGGCATGGGTGCTTCACCCTTGTGATCTTATGGCTGACCAGAAGCTATGGCTCACTGCCACTGCCCAGCAGAAACTGCCTAACAACAGTCAGAAATGATGAGAATTGAGAATCAGAAGTGTCTCTACTGAATGCACATCACTGTAAAATCAAACCAGAGACATTAGGAACTGCCAGTACTCTTCCCTTTCTCCTCTTCCTCCCCCATTCCCTTCTCATGTGCTTGCTAACAGAGATGTTATCTTCCTCCCTCCCTCCCTCCCACCTACCCTCTTCATCTCTCCTTTCTCCAGAGATCTGGGTGGCCTCTCACCATAACTGCTCAGCCCTAAGGCAGTCAGCCTTCAGCCCTGGCTTTCAGCAGGAAAGCTGGCAGTCAAGGCAGCCTCTCACCAACAACCCAGCATGACTCTAGACTCAACATCCAGCCAGCTATGTTCACTAGAGTGTCCACGGCAACATCCTTATTGATCCCAGGGAATATGGAATCAACTACCTGTCTTTCTATCATCAAACAAAATGGAACAGTTTTTTGTTAGCTAGATGCATAGGCACACACCTCTAGTTCCCTGAAACAGGAGGATCCCTTGAGCCCAAGAGTTTGAGGCCCACTACCGCAACGCCTTAAAACCCTGTCTTAAAAAACAAAGTCAGTTGTGGTAGTGTATGCCTTTGATTCCAGCACTAGGGGAAACAGAGACAGAGGCAGAGGCAGGTGTATCTCTGTGATTTGAGGCCAGCCTAGTCTCCATAGTGACTTCCAGGCCAGCTGTGGCTACAGGGAGACCCTGTCTCAAAAAGGCAACCCCGCCCCCCCCCAAAAAAAAACTTTTTTTTTTGATGTTTGAGACAGGGTCTCCCTGTAGCCCCAGCTGGCCTGGAACTCACTATGTAGATCAGGCTGACCTCAAACTCACAGGATCTGCCTGCCAAGTGCTGGGACTAAAGGCATGTGTATGCCCAGCTACCTTCCATCTTTTAAAAAAATATTATTGCTGGGCGTGGTGGTGCACGCCTTTAATCCCAGCACTTGGGAAGCAGATCTTTCTGAGTTCGAGGCAAGCCTGGTCTACATAGTGAATTCCAGGACAGCTGGGGCTACAAGGAGACCCTGTCTCAAAAAGACAAAAAAATATATATTTTTTTAAATTTTTTAGTTGTATGAATGTATAGTTCACATGTATGTAAGTGCACCCGTGTCATACAATGCCCAAGGAGGTCAGAAGAGGGCATAAAATCCCTAGAATTGGAGTTTGAGACCATTGTTAGCTGGCATGTGGGTGCTGGGAATTGAACCCAGGTCCTCTGTAAGAGCAGCCAGAGCCCTTGACTGATGAGCTATCTCTCTAGCCCCAGCCTTTCTCATTGTTTAAAAGACACAGTGAAATGCTTAGAGAGAAAAGATTTGCCTCAAAATAACATAAAACAGGGAGGGCATATAAATTAAACAATACTGGCCATAAACTGTTAACTGTTGAGTATGAAACAGAGGGGTTTTTTTTCTTTTTTTTTGGGGGGGGGCTCTTTTTGAGACAGAATCTCCCTGTAGCCCCAGGTGGCCTGGAACTCACTATGTAGACCAGGCTGGCCTTGAACTCACAGAGGTCTGCCTGCCTCTGCCTTCCTAGTGCTGGGACTAAAGGTGTGTACCACCACACCTGGTGAAACACAGAGGTTTTGTCCAATTATTATTTTTTCTACATTTGTATGTTTTAGGACAATAGTCCCTTGGCCTAGTGGACTCTGTGGGTTAAACTAGATAAGCACCAAGGTTACACCCATCAGGATTATTATAATTGACAAACAAAAAAATAAGAACTGCTGGTTAGGCGCTAGAGAGGTAGCTCAGCAACTAAGAGTGCTTCCTGCTTTCCAGAAGACCAGAGTTCAGTTCCCAGCACCCACATCAGGCAGCTAACTACCTATAACCCCAGCTTCAGGGAAATCCTATGCACTCCTCTGGCTTCTGTAGGCACCTGCATACACATGCACTCTTTAACAGACAGACACATAGACACACAAACACAAAATGATATTTGCATATTCATGTTGACAGTAGCAATATTCACAATGCCCAAGAATCAGGTGATGAACAGATAAACAAAATGCAAAATAAGTGGATTATTATTAAGTCTTAAAAAGGTTGGCAGTTGGGAATGTAGCCCAGTGATAGAGTACTTGCCTAGCATACATAAATCCCTGTGTTCTATCCATATCACTAAGGGAAGGGAGAGAGGGAGAGAGGAAGAGAGAGAGGGAAAGAGGGCAGGAAGGCCAGAGGGAGGGAGGGAGATTCTGACACACTGCAATATGGACAAACTTTGAAAACATTACGTTAAATGATATAAGCCAGATACAATAAGGCAAATATTGAATTATCCCACTTATATGACAGCCCTAGAGCAGGCAAATTCATACACAGAAAGTAGAATGATGGCTGCCGAGTGTAGAGGAAGGAGAGACGGAGCTGTTGTTTGATGGAACAGAGCTGCAGTATGGAAGACGGATGGTCCGGATACCTACACAATTGAGAATGTACTTAATGCCACTGTATATTTAAAACTGGGAAATTTTGTTGTATTTTACCATCAAAACTAAACCCAAGGAACAAAAAAGCTCCTTTGTATCCATACTCAGCTCTTCAAGGCCAGTTCAGGTCAGCCTAGACATCATACCTTAGTGAGGTTCTCAAAACAAGGGTGTGGTGAGCGTTGCTGGGGGAGTAGAGCTGCGGAGAAAGGAAAAACTACCTAGGCACATGGTCTAGTGTCCAAACACCACCTATGGAAAGAAGAAAAACAAAATTTTTAAATGGGTTTCAAGGTAAATGTTAAAGGAAAGAGTGTAAGAAAACTAGCAACAACCATCCAGCGAAATCTCTAATACAAAACCTGTAATACAAATTCAAAGCTGGTTCCAAAGGTAGTAAAAGACTCTTCCCAGCTCCAGATCTGCTCCCCACACCTATCCCAGCAAGGTGGTTCAGAGCATAGCCTCTGCCTATGTTAAATTCCCAGTGATAGCTGATTAGCCATGTGACCTTGGGCAAGAGACTATACCTGTATTTTCCATATGTAAAATGGAGCTACACAAAGATCCAGCGAGTTGATATTTGTAAAGCTCTTGCCACACTGCCTTTCACACAGCAAACAGTGTGAAGTGTTATGCCAACCTCAGTGGCAGTCAGGCTTCCCTTCACATGTTTCAGATCACCATGGAGAAGTGCACTTAGAGGATGGAGACCAGCAAAGTGAAGCTGCTTTACCCACAACTCCTCCAGTGCTCAGGACTCCACCCAGTGAGGCTATAGAGACTATATCAGGGAGCAGGGAATTGGGGAGGGGGGAGCTTGAGAACAGGGAGTGGAGCAGGCAAGCTAGGGAAATCAAAGGTGGGGAAGAGGATTGAGGGGGCACCCACTGATAACTAAGTGATGAGAATGAAAGAAAAAATGTGAATAGCTGGCAGGAAGCCCCACCTCCATTTTTTTAACTAGGCAGTTTTCAACTATGGCTTAACATGAGGATTATCTTGTTATCTGGGGCACTTTGTTCTGAGACACGGACCAACATTATATCAGGTATAAGTACTAGAAAATGAAATGATGGGATGAAAGCTGGGTGTGGTAGTGTACCTATAACCCCAGCACTCACAAGGCTGAGGCAGAAAGATTAAAAGTTAAAGTTCAGCCTGGACTACATGGCTAGCCCCAGAAGCAAAAAAACAAGGAGGGGAGGAGGAGACAGGCAGGGTACTAGGCCCATCAGAAAGTTCTGAATACACCTGGTTATTGACTCCAGGGTAATCTCGGTGCTGCAAGCCATGTGGCTCTGTCTGGGTAGCCAGACAGACTCTGGTGTGCAATAAACAGTCTGTTTAGAGAGAGGAGATAACAGACTTTACTAACCCAGACTGGTTCCTTCTCCCAAGTCACCGTAATCACAGACTCAGGCTTTGATGTATAGGAACTTTACCATTTATAACACAATATTCTCACTTCACAAGAAACTCACCAGTGAGTAAGCCAAAACTAGCAATCAAAGGATGCTCAGGTTCCTGTCGCCAAAGACCAAGCTGCCCCTGTACTCAGCTCTGAACTGGGAGGTCAGGTTTCCCATTTCCCAACATGCTTATTGTCCCAGGATGCACAAATTTTCCTTCAATTTGGTACTGAACTTGACTGTAGTCCTTGCCTTAATAATGACACACCTTAGAATGCTGTCAGACCAAGATTAGAGAACACAGTCCTAGAACATCATTCTAGATTAGAGGCTTTTCCAACAACAAAAACACAAAAGCCTGCCACAGTCAAAGAGATTCTAGGAACTCATTAAATTTAAGCCATTCACTCTACAAATAAAGAAACCAAGGTGAGGTAATTGATTCTGAAAAGATATATAAGCGATAAAGAGTTTTTGTTACCTGGAAGGTTCCTGACATCCCTGGCAAGATCACAAGCCCCTGCCTTAAGGCCTTCTCATTAGGGGGGCTGGTGGCTCCCATTCAGTAACCACTCAAACCTCCATCAAAAGCTGAGCAAAGAGCTTATTTAACTCTTAAATCAGTAATTCTCACCCTGCATGCACACTGGAAACACCTGGGGAGCAGTCCTAATGCCTGACCCCAGCTTAGACCAATTAGTCAGACTCTCTAGGGTAGGCCTGAGAGCTCATACCTTCCTGGTCTCTTTTAAGTACTCTCTGGCCTCCAGGGTTTTTTTCCATTAGCTTCTCTCTTCACCTGATCTCCTCCCTCAGATACTAGCAAGACCAACTCTCACATTTTCAGATCTCTGCAAAGTTCTTTGCATCACTGAGATTTCTCTGATTTCTTTTTATTTTGACACCATTTCTTCTGATGGCCCAAGCTGGTCTCTAACTTGTCATCTTCCTGCTTCAGTCTACCAAGAAACTCCACTTGACTTCTCCATTCATTCACTTATTTGTCTTTTTTATTTACTCGTCTATTTTTACTACATTTATTTTGTCTATGTATGTTATGTCTATGAGCATGTCCCAGTACACGAGGTCAGAAGACAACTAACTCTTGGAAGTCAGCTCTCTCCCTCTACCATGTGGGTCCCAGGAATCAAATTCAGGTTGTTAGTTTTGGTGGCAGACGCTCACTCCTATCCACTCAGCCATCTTGCTGCCCTAATTTCTATTTATTTAAAATAAATCAGAGCCAGCAAGATGGTTCAGTAGATTGCTTGTCATGCTTGATGACCTGAGTTCAATTCTCGGCACCCACACAATAGAAGGCAAGAACAGACTCCAGCAGGTATGCACACGCCTCTATACACCCTCCATAATAAAATAAATGTAATTTTAAAAATTTAAGTCAGGTGTGGTGATGCACACATTTAATCCCACCATTAAAAAAAAATAATAATAAAAGAGGCTGGAGAGATGGCTCAGCAGTTAAGAACACTGACTGCTCTTGCAAAGGACCACAGGGCAATTAACAAGCATCTGTAACTCCAGTTCCAGGGGAATCCAATGACCTTTCTGACTTCCTGGGCATTGCATGGCATGAGTGCACTTATATATATGCAGGCAATACACTCATACACATAAAAAATAAAAATTTTTTTAAAATTTTAAAAGAGGCATGGTGGCACATACCTTTAATCCCAGCACTGGAGAGGCAGAGGCAGGTGAATCTCTGTGAGATCAAGGCCAGTCTGTTCTACATAGCAAGTTCCAGGCCAGCTGGGGATACAGGAAGACCCTGTCCTAATGAAAATTTAAAAAAAAAAAATCCTGGGCTAGAAATGTAACTCAGTGGTAGGGATTTTGCCCAGCATATGCAAGGCTATAGGTTCAATTCCCAGTACAACTACACACGTCCCCCCCAAAAAAAGGAAGACAAAGAAATCTGCCTGCCTACTAAACCATCTACTCACCATCATAACCGCTTTATTTTTATTTATATACTTTCCACCATCTCTCATCCTTAATGTTTTTCTTGTTTACGGTCTATAAATTCCAAGATTACTAGGATATGAGCGCCATGAAGGGGATTTTTTAAAAAACTTGTATGTGTATGAGTGTTTGCCTGCATGTAAGCATACTCTTATCATGCAATGCCCACCGAGGCCAGAAGAGGGCATCAGATTCCCTGGAACTGGAGTTACTGACCTATTGTAAGCCACCATGGGTGGTAAGCCACCATGTGGGTGCTGGAACTGAACCTGGGTCATTGGCAAATGCTCTTTAGCACTCGCTAAGCCATCTTCCCCAGCCAGCCCAAAGGGGATATTTTAATTGTGTACCCTAGAATAGTGCCTGGTACACAGTAGGCCCTCAAGAAAGTAATGGCTGCATAAGAACCAGCAATCTCAGACAGGCATGGCAGAGGCAGGCAGATCTTTGTAAGTTCAAGGCCAGTCTGGTCTACATAGAGAGTTCCAGGCTATTGGGAGACAAAAAAAGGAAAAAAAAAAAAAAAAGAAACAGCAATCTCAAAGCATGACTTGCTGCCAAGCATAGTGGCCTGCACTCAGGACCCAGAGGCAGGAGGATCCACATTTGAGGGATGCCTATATATATACCAGCACTCAGAACACAGAGTCAGATGGCTCTCAGTAAGATAAAGGCCAAAGGCCAGCCTGGTCTACATAGAGAGTTCCAGGCCAGTGGAACTATAGACTGGAATAGGCTGGATCATGTCTCCAACCTCTACTCCTGCCAAGAGCACATGCACACTTACACAAAATAAAAACAAAACCAAAAAATATTGTGCCAGGGCTTGCTTTAGAACAGACTAAGTTTCTGCCCATATGCAGCGACAACATATTAGGAAAGAGACACTGACTGGTTCATGCCAGGTAATCAATCATAAAGCTATTCTCAACTGGAATTCCTAATTCCAAACCAGAAGTTGGAGGGAATATCTTCTTAATTCTGAAACAAGTGAGAGAACAGGTCATGTGAATATGGAAAAGGAGCTTTAGGCGGAGGAAAGAGCAAACAGAAAGGTCCTGAAGCAGGAACAATGGGCATGGGGACAGGACAGGAGGTAGATAAAGGCCACTGCAAGAACAGACTTTTTTCAAAGATTTTTTTTAGGGGCTGGAGAGATGGCTCAGCAGTTAAGAGCACTCACTGACTGCTCTTCAGAGGACCCAGGTTCACTCCCAGCAGCAACATGGTGGCTAATAACCATCCATAACTCCAGTTCCAGGGGATCCAACACCTTCTTCTGACCTCCTCAAGCACTGCACTACAGGGGTGCACCTACACAAATGCAGGCAATATAGGAGACCTTGAACAGGTCTCCTATGTTGAGGTCCACCCACCCAGAGTTCAGTGACCATTGCAGAAGATGGGGCAGAAAGATTTTTAAGAGCCAGGGAAGAGGTGCATGTCTATATGGAATAGTCCTACAGGAGCCAGGGACCCTTTTCATATAAACCTATAGCAATGGTGTCAGCATGCACAAGACCCATACAAACGTAGGCAGACAAAAACCCAGCACAGAACTGTGGAAATGAACAGCAAGCTCCAATCTTAGTTGAAGAATTATTGGCAGGTGATTACTGCTGAGCAGATCTTCCTGAAGAGAGACTCTAGATAGACTGACTAAATCCCAGTGGATGAACTTGCACTGAGGAACATCTCCAGACACTAACTTTACATAATAGGCCTTAATACAAATAGAATGTATATACTCCAGTGGAGGGGGGGTTACTATGGGAGGGTGTCAAGGGGTGATTTTATGTATGAAATACACAAAAATTCAATAAAAAATTCTTTTAAAAAATTTTTTAAAGATTTACT